CATGGAAAAACGCAATAACACTTTGGATAAGCTACTTCTAATCAAACTTCTAAGTATACTAACAAACTGCAATAAAAACCACGTTTGCTTTCCTTGTGTGCAGTTCAGTGTTGTAATAACTAGTAATGGACACTCAGCAGACGATCGTGTGCAAATTTGCACTTAATGAGATGGGCTGACACAATAAAGTGAAGCAATCAGATGTCTGGAATTGCACACTAAATTAAAATTTCTGAGTGTACAAAGAACTGCATTCTAACGTCACAAATATCAGGCTAAACTGTGCCGTGGGGCCATAAATCAGAGCGTGTCGGCCTGAAAGCTCGGCGCAAATTCTTTATGTAGCGTTATGCCTTTCCGATTTGTGCTTTTTGTTCCTTTGTTACATCTAGATAATTAATCTAAATTTGAGATCGAAGTCGAAGCCATAGCCCTGGCGTTGTTTTTGGGCCTGTAGCTAAATTCTAAATGTCGCAAGAAATTGTGCAGTTGGGAAGTGCTCAAACAGAGGAGAACAGAGAAGTTTTCGACTGCAACAATGACGAGAAGTAATCGCTGAAATCAAGCAAGAGTTGTATCCAGATACGTTTATATAGAGGAAGTGATGCGTGCGTAGAATATTAATCCCATGAGGTTTCCGAAGATCCGGACACAACTAAATTTACAATTCCGCTACACATACGTAAAGATGCATAAGAGAATGGCAGGTAATAGAAATAGAATGGAAAGGAAGGGACATAGAAACTCAGCCAGAATAGGTTGTTCCAAGCAAGGAAGCGAGGAGAGGGGACTGTAATTACCCCTGTAATCACCCTTCTCCTCACTCTTCAAAAAAAAAAAAAAAAAATCGGAGTCAAACTGCATTTCACTTGAGGACGTCAAAGTTTCTTCAGCCTTCGAAATCATTCCATCTCTTTTTTTACCGGGAATTTTGCAGCTCTCCAGCCAAGCGTAATAAATTTTTATTGCTACTGGCTGCTTTTTTGTTGGCCGTTTGTGCAGCAAATAATACTTGCAGCGCCGTCTTTCTCTTGCTAGGGGGCACTAGGAGCGCCGCCTTCTACATGTACACTACATGCCATGAAAAATTATCAGAAGTGAGAGTAAATTTGATAAAATTAAATTGTTAAAAGGCTACGGACCGACCTTATCGAGAAACGCACTTCGAAGTCGCAATCGGACGGCGCCACTGCTGCTGAGGATGACGGACTGGTGGCCGTGTTTATGATTTGGTCGCGTCCGAGCATCGAAAACTAGCAGCTTGTCGATCAGTGTTATGCTTGGAGAGAATAAACAAATTAGTTGGGGGAAGGCGGTTTGTGAAATTGCCCAAGCAGTGCTGCTACTGCTTCTGGCCAGGCGATAGGGAACTAGGCTGCTTCCCGGATATCGCGAAACCACAATCAAAGCACCTGGGCAGATATTACTAGTGCGCCAACAGATAGACACATAGGCCTGCTTGAACTCGAAACTTCGGACTTCAAATGACGATGTTCTGCCGCCAATCGCAACACAGCATTGATCGCCCTTCCCTGCCCGGGCCACTAGGCCTTGTCTTTTGGTCTACACGGATGCTGATGATGCGTGGCGAGAGGTGCTTAAAGACATTATGTCTGCGCTAGCGAGCCTATGCTCAAAGCAGTAATCCATCCGGGCACTCTGCATGGGTCCATCAGATACTCGCCAGCTTTGAGATGCGCTTCTTCTGGCTTCACAGTGGAGAAGATGGGCAGCGATGTCATGCTAACATCATTAGAGAATTTTTTGAATCCAGTGTGTTAGAGAGAGAGCAGCACTCCTTTCACTTTGACGGACGGGTGCGGAAAAACACCGAAAATTGCTCACACTGATTATTTTTCTCGAAGCCCTTGCCTTCAGCTTCTTCGGCCATCTGTCATTCAAATCAAAATGCAATTGAATTTGGAATGAAAATAAGCATATTTTCAAGGATAAAACTGGAGTGCAAGAGCTGCTGCTTTCACTGCTCGCGCTACTTCCAGTAAATAAACTTGAGCACCAATCAGAGCTCAAAACCTCGAGGTCTCACTCCCTTGGAAATAAATCAATAACCAAACCGATAGGTGAATGGAGTATTAGATTCACTTTATCAGCCAAAAGTTCATTTGATTTGCGGCAAGCAAGTATTTGCGCTTACCATAAATCACAAAATTCGCCAGTTTTCACCTGCACACAAATTTTTTGTTGACAATATTCTGGTTTTGGCCACAGGACTAAGCCAGTAAAGTCGGGGCCTCAGGCTTGATGGGAAAGACGCTAAATGCAGTAATATCTCAAAAACTGAATAACTGCGGGCAAGGATTGAGTGTGTATTGGAAGCTACTTGTTAAAAAAGATCTAGCCCCTGCAGTATGTTGCAGTGTAGTTGTAAGAGAAATTACGTGTCATTACATCCCGGTTTGCCTGCCTGGCGAAGGAACACAGAGTGCACTCATAGAGATGCTGAAAATCGGCGGTACCAAATAAGTCCCCGGTCTGTAAAAACTCCGCTATCTTTTTAGATCCGATTATTTGCATGAGCACTTTTTCGGAAGTAGCTGAGAGCTATCTGCTGTATTTTAATAATTTACATTTTTCCCATCTCCACTCGTTTCTAGTTCAGCCAGTGCAAATTCACAGCTTATTTGGCCAAAATTGCGTTAAATACAGTTAATATATAAAGTGGACGTAGAGCGAAGATCTGCCATTGTCGATGTGCATATTGTTAAAAAAATCTGCTTCAAATTCACTTCCAAATGTGTTGTTTTTGCCACCGTGTTTTCCATTTGAGTAAGTTCATTTTTTATTACGTTCATGTTTTTACTGAATTTGTTCGGAGAACACATGGCAAATCGTTCAAAACATAATTAGGCACTTAAAAATACCTTTTACTGCTAACGATACAATCGTCTGTACTAATCCCAGGCGAAAATATCATAGTCCATATGTCGGAAACATGAATAAGTGAAACTGATCTGCTGAGGAAGCGGCCTTGAAGATCTTACTCCCAGTAAATTTCGATTCAATTGAGTCCTGATTAAAATCTAAACTATTTAGAGAAAATGCTTGTTTTCTCACTGAGCTAAAAAAAAATGATCGCTAGTTAGACGAGTAGGGAACTAGGCGCAGATATGCTCCCACATGCAAAATTTATATTGAAATGTTACAAATTTTTTAACCCAGACTGAAACACACCAGGCTTACCGGTGCGGTCATCTGCGTTTCTGCACTAAACTCGCAGGCCGCTAATAACAGGAATAGTCCCTGCGCTTTAGCCTAGCACTTGGGCTCATATTGGCCGTGTTTTGGCCCCTTCCGGCATGCAGGAGGAAGGGCGTCGGTTGGGATAAAGGTGGTGCATTATAGAGTGGCACGGACCTCCAGATTTTTCCATAACATGCCAAAATATGCATGAAACCCCGTCGTTTTTTCGGTAAATGTTCGCTTTTCGATAAAATGAAAAATGCAAAGTTCCAGCTCGCTAAAAAATGGAGTGTTGCTCGAGCGGTCGTTTGTCAAAAAATCCAAGTATACAAATGAACTGAATGTTCATCAACATATTTGGATGAAGGCAGTCGTTCGCTGCAAAACGCATTCGTTTCTGATTTTTTGGTAAATTTAAGTATTTCTCACGTCCACCTGGAGGGGATTTCACCTTCAAACAGAATTAAGACCGCACTTGAAAGTAGAATATCCCTGCGAATTTTCAGCCTCGCAGCTTTTCAGCCTCGAACCGGTTTCACTGCTATTTATCTAATTTATGCAAAGGCAGGAAATAATTTGCATATTTTGGCAAGTTATGGAAAAAAGGAAAATGTGAAAATTCCAGTCATTTAATAAAAATTCAAATAATTTCTACGGTTGCGTCCATGCGATATCGGGAGTGGAAAAGACTATGCGGATGCCTGCACTAGTCGTCCTGCTGCTAGTTGCAGCATTTGGATATTACCAAAATAAAGAGGTTCGATTCCAGGCAGTTTTCTGCTGTACGACATATCTTCTGACGAGAGGATTACTGAAATCTTTTACCAGTTATTATTTGTTTAATAGCTATATTTGATTTCACACCCACCCACTCAGAAAATATCAGTTGTTGTGTTTTTGTAACCGATACTTGCCTTAAAAAACTTTTTGGTCGTCGTATCAGAAAATCAGACACACTGCCAAGGTTTTTGTGCATTTTGTTTTTTGTGAAGTGCTTCGAATTTTGAGTGATACAATTTTTTAGGAGGGTACTTAACACAACATGCTTCGTTGGGGTAGCTTTGTTGTTGCACAGTAGTTCGAAGTTCCGACTCTGCCGGTGGGACAATCAATCCCTCTACGATTCGTTTCGATGGTAAATTGGTACTGGCATTTGTCAAAAAATCAAACCCGCGCCATAAGCTTGCTTGTAAGCAACACTTAGAAGAGGAAGCCATCGACAGCCTTGCTAGTGAATAGTTGCTGTTAGCACTTGCTACTACTCGGACTACTTCTCGAATACCTAGTAGGCCTCTCACTGATAGCGCAGTATGGAGAGGGTTCCGACTTTTGACTTTGGCTGAACAAATGTGGAGTTATTCAGCTAATAATTATCAAACAGGGTTAAAACTGCTGGACAATGGCGCCTCCACGTCGCTATGTCCATCCCTTCTCTCGCACCCGCCGTCGCGTCCGCGTTCTCTCTGCCCGTGTAACTACGAAATTACCAATGTGATAATTCGCACAGTGTTTCTTTCGCTGCTTTCGGAAGCGGTCGTATTCGATGTGGGGCTTATTTACGCAACGTGTCTATGGAAGTTAGGGAGAGGGGGAGGTAGGTGTGGTCAGTCAAAGTCCGGTACTCCCTTTTGGTGGACAGAGGAGGTTAGGGTGAGA